CCCCGCGCGGCCTCGCGCTGTTGCGCCCTCCGCGGCCTCGCGCCGTTACGCGCCCCGCGGCCTCGCGCCGTTACGCGCCCCCTGCGCCGTTATGTGTGTGCACGGCCAGGCGCGTTACGGCCTGCACCTCGTACAGACCGCGCGATACAGAATTATCCCTGCTGTATGCTTATATACGGTATACCTGTATATTAGCTATAGCAATCTGTAACACGTTTAATCTATAGTAATATCTGTTATATACGGAAATGCAGCACATGCTGTAATGTGTAAATACGCTGCTTGCTCTTTGGTAATGTGGTTATAAACGCTCCGGTGGGGTGTGTGGGGAGGGCAATCCTCTGGGGCAGCTGCTGCCCCCCACAGCAGGGCCAGGCCAGGGCAGCTGGGGGTAGATGCGCATCCGCTATAGGGGACAGCGGCGGCTGCGTTAAGTTTAGGGTGTCTGTCCTTGCAGGGGCTTTGGCCTGGGTGGTTATTGGTGTATTAGCTCCTGCTTTGTATTACCAACATAGTCTATACTTGGCTTTGAGCAGTAACTTCCCATCACACACCAAATAAATAATGACTTCCCATGCATTTACATTCAACAATACAGCTCACGCACAGGAGAGAGCCAAGGCAAGCCTTTTCTTCAGTCACAAGCAAGGCCTGTTAAAATCAAAATGCCCTGTTTTTTAAGAAAATCTGCACCTGAATTTGCTCCTAGAATTGATGCCCAAGCTTATGGCCTACAAAACAGGGCCTAGAACTCAAATATGGTCTTTTCTTGGAGTAAAGAAATAACCAACTCCCTCCCTGCCTAGAAATAAGGCAGGACCAAAACAAAATAAAAGGTTCATATAAAATTACAAAACATTTCAGTTTTATTAAGAATAACTTACATACAAATAAATTATCTTTAAAAATACTATAATACACTTTTTATATTATGTTTAAATTAAAATATCTTCAAAGTAGCCTTGGCCTTTCTTGCAATCAGCAATCTGATTCCATTCTTGAATCTTGCTCTAGTTCCTCCTCATCATCATCCTCTTCACTATCCGAGTCTTCATAAAAGGAAATTGTAGCTTGAACAGGGAAGTTTTTCAGAAGTGCTTCAGCTTCCTGATATAGGTAATCATAACACCTTGATTTGGGCCAAAATAGCCTGAAACAGGTATACAAGAAGTTTATTAGTTATTACATGTTCTACTTGGAGGCCAACAGATGAGAAGCAGTGCAGTTCTGTTTATCTAGTGTTTATCTAAATACATCTAGTTTATATTCCCACATGAGTTCTCCCCTCACATTCTCAGTCATCACTAGTCTACTTTCATACAAAAATATTCTCTGGATTCTGTTACCATGTGAAAGGAGAGAAATGCATGTAAAGCCCAAACTTCCTAGAGAAACTACTGTAAAGCCCGAGATCCACAGCGCTTCTGAAAGATATTCACTGGTACCTCAATAGGATCCCTGTGACCTGTTCCAATTACTATGACCACATAGGAACACCTGCTGGGAAGGTGTTGAACACAATCCTTGAGTTTTTTTTTTTTTTTTTTTTAATTTGTGCTTTTTTTATTGAGGGCCAGATCCTGGCTCTGGTTTACAGTGGTCTAGGCAAGACTCAAAGTGGAAAGGAAAGACAGTGTGTTAAGTTTGATGTTAGGAGGATCAGACCTTGATATTTCCAAGTCCTGTCTTACCAAGAGGAATCATCCGCTTCACTTCTTAAGGATGCTCCATAGCTTTAGATTTCAGAGCAATTTCTATGTTTTACCCAGAAATTAACTCACAACTTTCTGATAATATCACTGTTCAGCAAGGACAGCCAGCCAGCGAGATTATGTCACCCAACTAATATAATCTGTATTTCCTGTTTCTTCTCAGCTAGCAGCCTCCTTTGCTTACACCTTGAAAGTAGCTGTCAGAAAGAAACACCACAGAAACCTCCAGAGATTAGAAACGAGCAGCTGGGGACAAAAGCAATTACATAGAGAGCACTCATAGTAGAAATGATGCATCAAGCTAGAGACTGGAAGGTTTTCTAGCACGGATGCTCTCCCCGGTGCCGTCACAGGACTGCCTCCTTGGCAGTGCGCAGCAGCCCACGCTGCCTCCGGGAGACGTCCCTGTCTGCAGTGCTCCCTGCGCAGTTACCCGCACCCCTCGGCGCACGGGAAGACTCCGGGAAGCCGGTGCAATCGCGTAAGAGATGCCTCGGCACGTACAGGATGGGAGCCTTGGGGAGAGCTGCATCTTATCTGAAATAGCCACCCGTGTAGCTGGCTCAGCCACCCCACAACCAGCTGCCGGCACAGGCTGAACAGGTTCTCAGGGGATACGACCGTCCTCATTCTCTCAAGGTTCTCATCAGAAGTGACAGTTTAGTTCTGCCGAGTCCCACGCTGCCAACGAGCTCCGCTTGCAAGATGACTTTGCTTTGTGCATGGAGACACTACCACCCTCATCATTAGAGCCGCAACTGCCCAGGTACTTCCCTCGGCAATGCCCTCTCCTGCAGCTGCCTCCTCCCTCCCAGCGCAGGGAAGCAGCTCCACGATGGGGCACCAGGAGCTTCACCCTGACACAGCCCATGAGCTCATCCAGTTCCTCAATATCCCTCCTCCTCCTCGAGTTTCTTTCCCCCGCCTCACCCCCGCCAAGGGGGAAGGAGCAGCAAGGTGCTTCAGCCACACACAGAAAATAAGTAAATAAGTAAATAAACAATCCATCCTATATCGCAGAAGAACCAGAGCATCTTAAAGATCAGGAAAACCAGGGAGTGCTGGAACTCGTTTGCCTAAGGCCCTAGGGAATCTGGATGCCCCATGTCCCTCTGAAGGTACTTAAATAGCTACATAAACATTTGAGGGGGAAAAAATAAAAACAAATAAAAATAAATAAAAATAAAAAGCCGTTCTTCCCCGCCCTTACCTGACGGGGTGCGCGTACTGCGCCAGCTTCCGCGGCGCGCACGGAGCCCGCGGCGGCGGCCGGGCGGCGGCGCC